CTAGGCTAGGACCCTGGGGACCCCCGGGACCCGACATCCTTTTAAGGGCCGGGGCCATGCGCGGGCCAGTGGTTGAGACCCGTACCCTGGCTGGGGCGGGTCAGCGTAGCCTTCCCTTGGTCACCCTTAGCCGGAGGACTGAGAGCCCGTGGTCCCAGTGATAGGGCACGTAAGCCCAGAGGTCATACCTCCCCAGGTAGCGGGTAAAGGGGCCGTCACCCCTTGTGTTAGGGACCGATAACGTTATTGTAACGGTTATTGAAATAAACGTGTTGCCTCCAAAACCCACTACAAATGTACTTATGTGTTCATACTCTTTGGTTCTTTCGGGCACGGGTCTGTAGGGGGTACCACCCTGAGATAGAGAGAGAGAGTTCTTTTGACTTTACCGAAAGAACCAAACAGTATGGATCCCTGCAGTCACGAAAACTTCAAATCTACTTATTTGTTTTCAGAAAGTTATCGGGGCTGTACATATATATGACAATAACTTTGATAAGTAATATGCACTTGATTTGCTTGACAATTAGTTGTATCTTTTGCGGGGCAAAATGGGCAGTCTGTTTCCTTGGGTAACGTCGGGTTCGGTGGTTTGCGTAGGGTTAAAGAAAGACAACCCATGGATGTGGCAAACCCACTCTCGAAAAGGGAGGCACCACGCAGGCTCTGATCCGTGACACAAACGCCCACTTGAGCGAGTGCGCGAGTATTGCGACGGGGCACATTTAGGCGTGTGCACTCAAGCAGTGCATTTTAATGGTAGATTCCAGGTGATTGAGCAAGGGACGTTTCAGACAACATTTTCACCAAAAGTTGGCACAGTGGTGGCTGGTGAGGCACGTCCCTCCATACCTCCACAGCACCCACCTCGCCACACACTGCTGTGAATCGTGTTTCTGCGGGAATGTACAACCTTTAGCGATAAAGTGTGTTTTAGTTTATCTTCCCTTGATCCACCCGAGCCCCGCTCATGTTTAATGTATCCGCCGTGTAGCAGGAACTTCGGGTGAAAAACCGCACTTTGCGTGGCGTAGCTCACGTGTTTCCTTAGCGAGGAAAGTTTCATCACTATTTCCACAAACACATTTTAGAATAAAATATATAAAAAGGAATTATGTGCAAACACAATATTTACGACCTTAATTTATTCAGAAATAGGCCAAAGTCAATTAATATTCAGAATTAATTCTAGTATTACATCTCCTGTTTGCTGATGAATAATGTTAAATATACAGTAATGCCCCGTCAGACTGTTTTTATTTGAGTGGGTATGTTAGCGTCGCCATCCCATACAGTGGTTTCTTTAAATTGTGTAAATTCAGTCTGAGCCCATTTTTTGCCGGGGCGACTAAAACAAATCGCCTCACTCTTGTGAAGCAAAAACATGCATTTGGACATTCGCCTTTGTGTAAATCCATCCCCTTGTGTTGCTGTTTGCCATATTTAATCTGTATGAATGCTTTGTCGCTTTGGATGGATGACATAAACAAAGGGTCCTTGTGTCCATCTTCCTTCTTGCTTGTGTTGTTGCCCAAACTTGCCGTGATACAGCAAACCCCTTGGCTCATTTTAGTATCTTACCAACCAACCAACCTCAGATACATGATGACTGAGTTAACTGATCAATATTTTATGATTTTTTTAATTGCGAGTCTGCCTCTCCCATTACGGAATAACGAACTCTGCCTAAGATTCTGAGTTGGTGTAATGTGATTATTTACAGCTGGTGGTATTGCCGTTTTGTAACTTATTTTCAAATACAATACTGTATTTCGGAAGTGCGTTTTTGAAACGCATAAGGGGATTTGTGCTGTCATTAACCGAACAAATACCCCGAGTGCGCTGCAATGCTCCCGACCGCAATAACGTGCCTACCTCTGACAGGAATGTCCTTACGGCCGGACCGCCTGATGCGTGGGTGGGGTGAGCAGCACTGGCAGAGATGATGGTGGGAGAATGGAAGGCGGCTCAAGTGCAGGGTGTCACACACGTCTACAAATCCCTTAATTGTCTTACCCCACCACCATATCTCGCCACTCTTGTATGTGTGTGTGCATGTGTCGCCTTTTGGCCCGCCATGTTCTCAATCTTTGCTCTCTCTCTCTCTGTTCCCCTTCTCCTTGTGCGCAATCCACGCTTTCACTCTTTCTGTGTTATCGCCCCCCCCCTTCACTGGAACAATCTTCCCCACCACATTAAGCAGCCACCTACTCTCACTAGTTTTTTTTCCTCCTCACCGAAAGCTCGCTTATTGTTCCGTCGCTCATCCCACGACCCCTTAATCTCGCCATCAAAAACCGCCACGGTTATTGTTTCCTCTTCATATTCTCATTATATGGCCATCACTCATTACCCGTTCATTCAATCCATTCATCATCATTTACTTTCATCAATTTAACTTTCACCGAATGAACGCATTACAGATTCGCCCATTGCTTCCTCTCATCTATTTCATTCACCTCATCTCCGCCACATTACATGCGTACGTACGGTTCTTAATACTATGTAACGCACCTTGGGTCAAGGCGCAAAAACAAATTACGTAAAGATAAGATGTGTGGACTCAAGGGCAATGATTGACTCAACGCAGATGCAGGATTGCATACGCTCACGAACACATCTTCCCACAAATAAACACAGATTCGCTTCCTGCAAATACAATATGACGACAGTCCCTGTGGCCAGTTTTTTTTACAAATGTCGGTAAAGTCCCGTAGAAAGAAAATAAATAGTAGCATGCAACGTTTCGATTGCAACACAAATGAAAGAGAAAACAAACCCAGTAAATTTTGATTTAAAGCTTTCGTGACTGCGGTAATTTATATTCTTACCTCTTTCGGTAAAGTCACGTTGAAGGGAAACAATAAAATAATAAAATATATATAAAACAATAAAAATTCTCGCGACGTTTCGACCATAACATCACCTGATGGCGACCGTTTGTGTTATGGTCGAAACGTCGTGAGAATTTTTTTATTGCTTTATATATATTTTATTGTTTCCCTTCAACGTGACTTTACCGAAAGAGCTAAGAATATAAACCTAGTAAACTTAGAAATATAATGCAATACAATACAGAGTCGGCTAACATAACAGACAACACCCTACCTGGTTGACTACGTTCTTCCAAAGATTGTATACAGTACTATACTATATATATACTGCACTATATACACTACATTACACCACATACTACAATAATCACCGCACACTACTGTACTGCACACCACCACTGTACCCACAGCACTATTGTAGTGTACAGTACTCAACACATACACATAAACACGCACGAAAATACATGAACACGTGTTGCTGCTAACAAACACCACTCGGATACCGACATGTAGGGGGCATGAGCGCTGATCCTGTGTACACGACAACTTAAAACAAAAATTATAATCCAATGTTAACATTCTGCTGCACTGTATTAGATGGATCGCATGGCAGTTGGGCTGGGGATTGTGAGGAATTATGAATGTAAGTTTCTACACATTGGCCACACGAGCACTTGGGTTTTCAATCGCTCAATTCAAATAGGTCATATAAAGAGACATTCATAAATCTCGTCCATATGTTAACTGGCAGAAATGTGCGCGCACCGTGCGAATGCACACTCACTGGATCGGTGGCAGGTGGTGGTGATTCATAAACCGGAGTGGAAGATGCGAGTGACCAGTTTAAAATAAGACGCACCGCTCTGCATTTAGATCCGGCTGTATTTAGATAACGGGAATAAATGCCCAGGATGGGTGGTCTTGGATTGAGTCGGCCATGTTGTGAGGTTTCAAAGACTGCCCAGAGATGTTCACTGTGTGGTTTGAATTTCTGTTTCTCCAAAGGCTGCCTTGGGCAAACAACACCATTGAGATACGCTACTTTGTGGGTTGGAACATGTATGTATGTATGACAGTGGGGCTTTTGTGTTGGAAATCGTTGGGTGAATGGAATTGTAATATTCGGGTGTGTGTAACTTGTGAAACATTCATCAGCGTTTCAATTCTATTCAAGGGCATTGACGCCGAGACCTTCAGGGCTGACTGTAACCACAGCGTGTGCTGTACAGTGAGTGCAGCTGTTATTGTACGACTCGATTTGTGCATTTTATTATTTTATATCGTTATTTTAGTACGAGGGGCCCTAAAGGAAGTTTGTTTCAACCAGAAATTCAAGATTAGCATGGTCCACCGAGCTGTGGACAACAGGACATCTCTACAGTACTGTACTCGCTTAAGCTTACCGATCAGACTGATGAGAAGCACGGTGGCATATGTGGGACATATCCATATGTCAGCTGGAGATACGATGGACATGATTCTGCAAGGGAAAATGGAAGGGAAGAGGGGAGGAGGAAGGAAGTGCATCAGCTGGTGGGTCACTCTCAGCAGTTGGGGGAGATCACAAAAAGTGGAAAGTGTATACATGACCGCAATTTGTAACACAACATGGAAACACGACCTCAACTTGTCACATTTTTATTAAAGAAACCGCATGGTAGTGTTAGTGTTGTTAACTCGCACTACAAACGCTATTCGTGCGTATGGCAATTATGTTCATGAGCCAAATACCAATGTCGGAAATCTGCTAGCCACAAGAGGTCTTTAGGAGATTTGTAGTTTTGCTATTCCTTCATTGAATGAGCGCAGACCACAGTGGTTTACTATATGTCCATAGTTATATTGCGTGATTATAGTCGCACTGTGGCCTGTCTTTATTGTCTGTTTATGAAGGAGGTGTGTGCAATGGCCTGTTGATGTTCATGTTCTGATAAGTTAATGATACACCAGTGTGATGTTTGGGTCTCAAATGAGGTGTGTATTCTGGACGTCTGCATTGTTCCATTCGCCAGTGTTATTCTGGATCTGAGTGAGATTTTAGGATGGTGACATTGCGATCCCAGAACGGGAATCGGCCCTTCATTTTGCAGTGAGATACATTGTTGAGGAACACCTGAAATACGACCGCTCATATTCACCGCTGCGTGTGCTATGTGGTTTTGGCAGGATTGTCAGTATTCATCGGCATTTACCTGATCGTTGGCTATGGAGCTTCCCTGCTCTGCAACTTCATTGGCTTCCTCTACCCTGCATATTATTCGTGAGTACACCTGTAGTGTGTGTGGATTCAGGAGACGTCGGAGATGGTTCTTGGAGGCAACACTATTTATTAACGCCACACTTCGGCAGTACAGTCCCAGATCACTCAGGGCTACACCACTGTCTAGGGAGGTACTGCCTCCCGGGCTAACGTGCCCTAACACAGGGCTACACTCAGGGTCCTCCGGCTATGGGTGCCTAGGGGGAGGCTATTCTAACTCGCCCTAGCCAGGGTGCGAGTTCCGACCACTGACCCACTGGGCCCGGCCCTTACAAGGACGTCGGGGCCAGGGGTTCCCAGGGTCTCACCACTGAGCCGCACAGAGCCCCGGCCCTGATAAGGACAGCGGGGATAGGGGTCTCAGGGTCCTATCTAGCTGCTGGTCTTTGGCTTCGGTCTTCAACTGGTCCAGATCAGCTGGGGAGGTGCCCTTTTATGCCCCTTTCCCATCGAGAGGTGGGGGCTGCGTGGGATCCCAGAACCCCCGCAGCCCCCCCCCCCTCCGTTGGGAGCACCGAGGGGCTTAGCTGTCTGGGATCCTGAGCCCCCAGCAGCCCCTCCCCTCTTGGGCTGGCACTGCAGCCCCTCCCCTGACGGTACGAGGTACCGCTCCTGATGGGCCCCGTCCACCATTGCAGGTAAGTGCGGCCCATCTACGGCGCTACACATCTATGAACTCGTGAAGTATTGCTTTTTATTGGTGATAGAATGACAGATTGATTTATTTATAGATTTTTAAGCTCACAATATGCCACCATTCATCGTAGTGCTTAAAAACAATTGATTATTGAATTATATAGCAATTAATTGTGACAATACATCAAATCTTGGGGTTGGAGGTATTACATCGTCCCTCTCCCTACCTTATGGGACCTTTCTTTCCAGTTTTAAAATATAACAATAGGTTTTACCCTTTCTGGCAATAAAACAGGTGTCAAGATTTGGACCAATCAGTTTCAAAGACATTGCATATATTATTGTCAGAACATGTTTTTTGTTTGCATGTTCACCACAAGTATGTGTGGTTAATGCAGACAGGATTCCTTGAATAAAGATTCTGTTTGGTGTTTTAACATCTTGAAACCTGTTTTATTGCCAGAAATGGTAAAACCTTTTGCTCTATCTCCCTACCTTATTGTTTATGCATACCTGACATGAACTGTTGAATGTGTATCATGAGCAAATGGTTTGTTATGATTATGACATAACATGCATTTAAAAAAATGTAAATCTAAACTCATATCACTTTGGCCAAATGTATGGATTGTGTATATTGCGTGGTTATGTAGCCAATCATGCTTGGGCATTCATAATTGCATGGGATTTTTCAAGCCAGTCACAAACTGTGCACAGAAAAGCTGACAATATTTTTGTCCATCCTGACCATCCTTCCACCACCATCACGTGCTGTTTATGCCTCTCTGGTGCCCCCTTTAAAAGCAGAGCCACACATCACAAAGAATAATCTGGATCTGATGTCATGGCCAAATGACTAGTATCACTTTTCTCAAATACTTGAATGGTTTGTCTAACCATTTGTATGATTTTTATGTCAAACAGTTTATCCACACAGTTTGGGCAAATAAATGTATTCCATTTATATTGACATGTTTGTGGCTCACAGTGTCAGAGTTATAAGGAAGTAGACATTTAGTCACATATGGCCACTATTAATTATGTTGGCATGAATTGATATATCAAGTTGGCATTATAAACTGGAAATATCAAAATATGGTTCTATTTTTTAGTAGAGTGACTCCTCAGGGGGCAGAGCCACTCATAAATACACTTGACTGATTATGTCAGAGTGGTAATGTAGCAGTTAGCGCACTGCGCTACAGACCCAGCGTCCCAAGTTTTATTATTTCACCCAGTCCTGAGCCTCCCCGAGGTCGACTCAGCCTCAAATGAGTACTTGGTGCGTTGTGTAAAAACATCACCACTGGGGAGACAAAGACAGTCAGGTGTGGTGCTGGCCCGGCCTTCGTTGGTGCTCGCTTCATAGCACTGGTCCAAACAGTTTGTTAAGGCTATATGGGAGATCTTTGTGATTCATTGCCCCCGTGGGGAATCACACCATGACGTCATGAAGCCATGGTAGAATCACTGAAATTAACATCGGTTGTGTTTGCAGAACGGATGTGCATGCCACCGATTCTGTGGTGTGGAAGTGCACCTTGTTTTAATAATGAATAATGGCTTTTGAGGAAAGATACCACCAGCAAAATTTTTCACAAATGTAAAACTGCCGTGTTCATTACTTGGGCAGCTCAAGTCAAACATAAAAAAACAGTGCAGAACAGCCGTTTGAAACGCTTTATTAGCATTAACGAATGTTTGGTGGCATTTTTGTGTCGTTGATGTGATGCCAGAATCAAAGCCATTGAGAGTGTGAACAAGGATGACGACACACAGTGGCTCATCTACTGGGTGGTGTACGGCTTCTTCTGCGTGGTCGAATTCTTCTCTGACATCTTCCTCTACTGGGTTCCCTTCTACTACTTCATAAAGGTATGTCCTGTGGCAGTTTTCACCACTTTTTCAAGGTTGTCATAGGAAAAATATGCGATTTTCCCAACAGCCAAACATCCTTATTAGGGCCTGCCCTATCTGGACAGAAATGAATGCTTTTATGATCAAAGGTATAATTCTTACAAATGTTTCACACATTTGCCGGGCTACATGTGTAATGACAATAGAGCCTCCATGCGGTGTGAGGGGGGGGGACTAATGGCCTCAGGAGGTAATGAGTGAGGTCACCCTACAGTACGGATGCACTAGTGGCCACGGGAGGTAATGACAGGGGTATCAGTTGTAAGTGCGAAGGGACTGGTGGCTATGGGAATGTTCGAGAAGGGAGCGTAGTCGGGTGACGGTAGAGGGAACGTCCAGAGTCAGCGAGAATGAACGAGAAGGGGGGCGTAGCCTCGTGTTGATATATAAGGGAGATGCGTGGGAGACTCGGAACTGTTGCAGTGGGATCTCCGCCTTCAACAAAGTGCCATCTCAAGAGAAGTGTGTCCAGTCGTCATTACACATGTAATTGTAGTGAGGCAGTAACATCCTTGTCATCTTGTGTTAGAGCTGTGACAAGTGGTCTGAATGAGCTCGTCTCCTTCCCCCTCAGTGCGTGTTCCTGGTGTGGTGCATGGCACCCGTCAAGTATAATGGTGCGCAGAAAATCTACACGCTCCTCATCCGCCCATGGTTTTTGAAGCACGAGGGCAAGCTGGATGACATAGCCAACAATCTGGGCAAGAAGGCCAAGGAGGCGGCCGACGCCATCACGAAGGATGGTAACCTCTTCCCCCTACAGCGGGTGCACGTGGCGTGAGCAGTGAGGCCTTTACGGGGCTATATTGCCAGACAGAAGTGAACTTAAAATCCTGGTGCTTCTTGGCTGTGAATTTCCCTGACCGTTTTCATTACCTGGAAATGGGTATAGTGCACAAGCCAGGTCCTCATTGTTTACATTTGATAAATCCAAATGCACATATGCATCCCAAAGGACTTCTGATAGAGGTTTTGTTCTGCCTCTTAGGGTTTACACAATGGGTTATGAGTGTTGTGAAGAGGTTGAGTGGTGGTTGAGGAAGGTGATCAGTATGAGTCATCATTGTTTTGGCATTATATTATTAGAATTTAAAATGCCCATCATTCGTGGTGACCTCAGTTCTAATAACCAGCTGTGTGGTAACACCTATGGGTCATCCATGTAATGCCTCTCAGCTATCTCATGAGTCTCAAACCCTGATTAAATCTTAGTTGATTGTACGACAGCAACCTCCAGTGCACAAACAATTTTGAGAGAGTGAGAATTTTCCAGACATTCCTGATAAGAATACTGAACACATTGCAAAATTGTACGTATTTAAATCCTGTAAATCTACTTTAGACCTGTCCCCTAATAAGTATAGCAAACTTGGTCAAAGTGAAGTTCTTGCATTAGCTGAAGTCTGTATTCAAATGCCTTTGCAGAGTACAGACTGTGCACACTACATTTAATTACGAGACCACTTGCAGGCTTTTTCACATTTCTAACTGCCTGGTGTAACCTTCCAACAATCCATATTTCTTCTCCGTGGTTTAACTTTGGGAGTTGCGAACCCCCATGACACACGCTAAAAATTCACTTGTGTGAATTTGATTTTTAAAAAATTGTCACATTTACACTGGTACACTAAAGAAACTAAATGTACGAGTACTCTTTCCAAAGTGTGTCTGTTCTCAATGTTTTCCTCGGTTGATATGAAGGCTTAGAAGTCATGCAGATGTTTGCAAAGCTTGACTTTGTCACCACTAATATTCTTACTTTCCCTTCATTCTGTATAACACTTCCACTCGGGGGCGGAGCCAGGATTTCAGGCCGGGTGACATTCAACAACTGTTAATTTCAAGAATGATTAGAGAGTCAGGCTGTTGAACTAGACGCCATCGGTTGGCGACACACTCTGACAATGCAGTTGCACGGAGGCCGCCAGACCGAGTGTAGTACACTTACACGCAGAATGTCACCCCTGTCACCCCCCCTGGCTCCGCCCCTGCTTGCATTCTTATTTTTTTCATATCTTTTTCTAATAAAGTTGAAGATAGCATGTTTTAAAATCTTAAGTCATTCTGTCATCACATTTATTTTTTGATAGGCTAATACTGAAGTCGTTTGTTTATTGCATTTATTTTAAACATAAAGAATTGGCCCAGCTCAGAATTTATTTACATTGTTTACTTTTTGTATCTGTGCCCTTGACTTTGCTAGAACCGTGAATTTGTTTTCAGTTAGTAACAATGTGCAAAACAAATACATTTTTATCGTGAAATATTGGCACAGCTGATGGATACTGAAGAAGATGCACTAGAATTGCAGTCAAATTTAGTGTTAAAACAAGCATACATTAATACAAGTCTATTGTATGTTCAGCTTTGATCGTACAATATTTATTGACGCATAGCTTGCTTAAATCCATTTTAATGTATCTTAATATTGTAATGTGCCATTTTCAACTTCAACCAATGCAAATATTTTGTTTACATAATGCATAAGCTATCTTTCTTGCAGCTGGTAAAAGCAATGGATTAAAATGACGGTATAATTCTTCCATAATTATTTGACATCCCTTAAGGAACAATGACTTGAACAGTATTTAAAATCCCATAGACTCGGCTGGATCTTGAAGGCATTGACGCATTCGCATGGACACACCCAGGCCTATAATTCCATTGTCTCCATTTTGTTAGGAAGTATTCAATAGTTTGATGTTTAGGAGAACCAATGACCATTACTGGAATTTAATTCTGTGAAGACCACATTGGAAAGCAAATTAATTAACCTACAGTGCAGTTAATTAACATGTCACTCCACGTGTCCAAGTCACTGCTGCTGTGGCATGGATGTCAAGACTTCACCAATATCCATTTGTTAATATGATTTGGATGTGAAGCAATATTTGCCAAATATAATGAAAGTGTTTAACTAAACGGTTTAGCATATTTTATTTTGTAAAAAAAAAAAATACACACAAGAAGTAGTCTCTAAAGTTATTCTAGTTACAAAGGTGGTAGATGTTGTAAAGTTAGAGGTATGTTTGTGTGTTTTTCAGCTACCAAGGCTGCTACCAACATAGCAGCCCATGTGCTCAAGGGCGAAAAGGACTCGTGAGCGCCCCTCTGTGGCTCACTCTGGCCTGGCTCGCTGTCCTGCTTAATCAGTGCACCCCCTTTTACACCTGTCTCTCGCTGCATGCCACTAAGACAACTCTCTTCAGGTTGAACTTAATATGCATTTCCTTGTCATGCTGCTGCCGCTGTGCTTGTATCTCAACCTTTAAGTAAAGAGTGAATCTAGGAGCCCATGTTAGCAGTGCCTGATCCTAAACCAAAGCCACAAAATTGATTTACAAGTTCCAAGGCATTAAAAGGGATATTCTCATAGGTAGACATCACAAGCCATTACATTTATTTAACTAAACGAATGTTAAAATAATATTTTTTTCTGTAGAGCATACTGCACTTTTTTTTTTTTTATCCTGAAGCAGGACCATTACAGAGCCCACAGTAAGTAACCATGTGATAACCATTGGAGGTGTAAACGCCACATGCTGTAACTGTATTTCGAGGAGTTATTGTGGGATGGGTTTTCTTTGTGCTATGAAAAAGCACGTAAATATTACAAAAAGCTCTTTAAAATTAGAGGACACAGTAAGTGTGTAGTCTGGTAAGAAGTCCTTCGTTTTAACTTGTTGCATAGATGAGAGTTTATGATTAGTGTAAACAATGCACTTTGCAAGCAGGCTGCACTGGCCAACACTTGCACATGCAGAAACGTAAGCTTTATTACGTAGTGTGGTGTGTGTTGTGTGTTTTGTTTTGAAGTTTGTAAGCTAAGTTGGGAATTTAGAATTCAGTTAAAAACTTTTTGACTTATTGAAATAATAAAAGTAGCTTGCAGTTTTGTTTTTAAGATGTTGAGGTTTTTTTGCAGGGGATGGTGGGAAAATGTTTTGGGAAACATGCAATTGTAAGTCTGGTACAGAAACAACAATAGCAAAGATGGCTTAAGGAAAACATCCATATTCACAAGTAATAATTATAGAACGACAATCCTTAGTGCATGATATGCATATGTTTTATTTTATGTTTAAGCTTTTGTTTGCTTGTGTGCACTTACCTACAGGTATTAAGCATCTGGAGCTTGTTTTGAACGTGAAGTATGGGTAGAATTGGTTGCCATGTTGCATAATTAAAATGTTACCAATGTAGTTGGGAGTGAATTTATGTTCTATATTTCATTTGTGGTAAATTTTCATATGTAAAATAAAGCATGTGAACCAGATGTTTTGAAGTGTTGTCACGTGTATTTTAATTTATGTAAGTGTATATATTTTTTTAAACGTTGCTATTACAGTGGACACTGCATATGTAATCACTGCTTGATGGTAATTTCCAACGTGGATGCATTATTTGAGAAAATGGATGGTGAATGAGTGCCAACTGTTTGCCCCAATCTAATTCCTCACACACATTTCATTCCTCTTGCAGCATTTTTTTTACTGTCCTCTTGTCCAACTCATATTTTATATTGGGCACATGTTGTTAGCACCGATAAGGCCCAGAACAATTCTAGATTTGAAGCTTTCGTGACTGCAATGATCCATACTCTTTGGTTCTATTCGGTAAAGTCACATAGGTAAAAAAAAATAAAACAAAAATCACGACGTTTCGGCCACAACACAAGCGGCCTTCATCAGGTGAAGGGACCAGACCGTCTCGAGGACAGCGCTGGAGTGAACACAGCTAAGCTCAAACCGCGACCTTTAAGCTGTGTGAGAGGAATCAAGGTGCCTTAACAAAGGAATTAGCATAATTAGCATTTAATTGGCGGACTTAGCATGATGAACGGTGTAGAGGGGGTGAACATGTGCAGGTCGGCGAGGGGGGGAGGTGTGAAAAGGGAAGAAAATGTGGTACAACATGGACTAAACCCCGAGGTACCTACGCTGGTCAGGCACTGCCTCACCAACACCTACTTGGAATGGTTCCTTCTACAATCAAAATGAGGGTACTCCCATGGGTTCCCCCTTGTCACCAGTGATAGCCAATGTTTTCATGGAGAAATTTGAATCGGACGCCATCCAGACTTCTACCCTCAGACCTTCCCTGTGGAAGAGATATGTGGATGACACTTTCGTCATTTGGCCACATGGCCTCCCAGCTCTGAACCTTTTCCTACACCACATCAATTCCAGACATCCCGCCATCAAATTCACCATGGAAGTGGAGAAAGATGGCAAGCTACCATTCTTGGATGTTCTGTTTGAGAGGAGCCCTGATGGCTCATTGGGGCATTCTGTCTACAGGAAACCCACCCACACAGATTCCTACTTGAAACCTGATTCCCACCACCATCCAGCTCAAAAGAATTCTCTCATCAAAACTTTATACCATAGGGCTCATTGCATTTCGGACCAACACCACCTGACCAGTGAATTAAAACATGTACACCTGGCCCTCAAAAGGAATGGATACTCTGACCGCACCATCCGCCAAGCTGTCTCTCCCTCCATACAGAAACAACCACTTGATACTCCGGTCAAAACCATCACACTACCATATATAGCAGGCGTTACTAAAAAGATTTCCAAAATTCTAAACAACACAAGATCCAGGTCCGGTTCAATACAGTACACAAAATTCGTGATCTGATCCCATTCATGAAGGATGTCATTCCTGACTTACAGTACCCCGGGGTTTACAAATTGAGTTGTACCTGCGGTGATTGCTGTATCGGGGAGACGAAGCGACATGTCTTTGACCGAATTCGCGAGCACAAATCAGATTTGAAACACGGCAGAACGAATTCTTCTGCCGTAGCTGATCACTGTTACAACGCTGTGGGTGATCACGATATAATTTTCTCTGACACCAAGGTTCTTTGCAAACCCACAGGTTTTTTTTATCAGAGATTTGTTCACGAGGCAATTCAGATCTACAAACACAGACACAATTTCAACCGAGAAGATGGTTTCAAATTAAGCAACAATTGGAAAGATGTTCTAAATCGAACCAAACATTAAACTAATTTTCATTGGTGCAGTATATTTTTTCAAGTAGTGGTACCCCAAACTTTCGCAGCACAGGCGGGTGCACTGCCGGTGCCGATCACTGTGCTACACCTTTCATCATGATAAGTCCGCCAATCAAATGCTAATTTTTACGCTAAGTCCTTTGTCAAGGCACCTTAATCCCTCTCACACAGCTTAAAGGTGCACTGCCGCGTGCTACACCTTTCATCATGCTAAGTCCGCCAATCAACCATTAGAAAGATGTTCTAAATCGAACCAAACATTAAACTAATTTTCAATGGTACAGTAATTTTTTTCAAGTAGTGGTACCCCAAACTTTCACAGCTTCCCTTTTCTTCAATTTTCACACCTCCCCCCCCCCTCGCCGACCTGCACATGTTCACCCCCTCTACACCGTTCATCATGCTAAGTCCGCCTATTAAATGCAATTTTTTTATGCTAATTCCTTTGTCAAGGCACCTTAATTCCTCTCACACAGCTTAAAGGTCGCGGTCTGAGCTTAGCTGTGTTCACTCCAGCGCTGTCCTCGAGACAGTCTGGTCCCTTCACCTGATGAAGGCCGCTTGTGTTGTGGCCGAAACGTGATTTTTTTTACCTACGTGACTTTACCGAATAGAACCGAAGAGTAAGGCCCAGAACCTTGCACAAGGGGTGGTGTTTGCCAATGTACCACGCCTTTGGCTCCAGACGGCTAGTGATAGCATTGTTCCAGGTACGGTACTCAGTCTATCGTTTGTCAGTATTACTGTTCCCCTGAATCTAATACACTCCATTTTACACAGCAATGAGGTGTGGAATGTTGAATTCATCTAGCATTACATGCTGCTGAGCACCAGATGTCTGAGTAATTTAACCTCCAACTGTAACCGAGTAAAATATATTTTCACTGCGTAAATGCAACGTGACTTTTAAGTCACGAGTACTTTCAACGAATGATTTACAATCTTAAATGATAACCAATGACGCCACGAACCAGTGAAGTTATTAAACGTGTTGCACAAGACTTGACCCAGACTCTACCTTACACAATAAGCTTAGATTCACTCACCAGCTTAACAGTATTTACTCTGATAGAAAATAGAACACGACACGTTTCTCAATGAGAACCGTTGAAAACATTTTTATTCCAAAAGACGCCAATACCTAACACGTTCATTAGTCCACATGACACAATGCCCCTTTCACTGAAGATCATGTGACCACTTTCACAGCATTTAATGTCGTTTTTTGTTATGTCTTGCAAACTCAATCTCCATGCGTCTCATGTATTACATTTAAATTGTTTTGTTTAAAAAAAAGGTTTGGGTTATGCATGTTGCTATGTACAGCATCTGGAGATGCTTCTAGTTCTCATGCTGGGTAAATTAAATTATTAAAATGAGATGCACAACGTGTATATCGATGCAGTGCAGTACATTTTCAATGACTTTCGCTTAAACGCAGTATTGGAGCTGATACATTCCAAACCAAACAAGCGCCACCAATTGTTCAGTTATCTTGCAGTCGGCTACAGCATTTTAAACACGCATCTGCAACTGTAAGAATTAATGTTAAAGAGGACTTGTATCACCCCTGAATCCACCACTCCCGAGCCATCTGCAGTCTGACCCTTACCTGACACCATGTTCCGCACTGGTGAACTTGTATAACACATACAATCCAGCAAACAAGTAACTCTTGCCCACAGTGCGGCCGATGCTTCCACTCAAGGGCTGGGCTTTCCATCGTATGATGGAAAGTCGAAAACGAAGAGAAAAGTTGTATAATAATGGGTTGATTACAATAACGTGGATTTTTTTTCTGTCAGAGGAAAAACACATCGACTGACTGGTAATTGTATTATACTTTCTGGTTCTTTCGGTAAAGTCACGTAGATAGAAAAATAAAATAAAACACGACGTTTCGGTCGCAACACAAGCATCCGTCTTCAGGTGTGAAAACAATTATCTGCTGTTGTGGCTTTATATAGGCACGGGAGGGGAGAGGGGGGAAGTTTGGCTGTGGGAGTTCACAGGGGAGAGGGTTTGTGGCGTGCATGGACGGGTCGGGCTAGAGAAATTAGCAAGTAAATGGACTTGTAGTACAAGTCGTAATCGGACGACGACAACCGGGTGGGTGAGTGAAAATCATAGCAGTCAAAACTTGACGTGGTTTATCACATCCTTCCAATGATTGCTCAATCTGAATCCATCTTCTCGATTGAAGTTTTGTCTGTGTTTGTATATCTGGATGGCTTCATGAACAAATCTCTGAAGGTGGCCCGAGGGTTTGCAGAGCACCTTGGTCTCGGATAAAACAATGTCACGTGTGCCCACAGCGTTGAAACAATGATCCGCCACCGCCGAGGAGTTGGTACTGCCGTGTTTGAAATCTGCTTTGTGTTCGCGAACCCGGTCTGAGACACGTCGCTTCGTTTCACCAATGTTACTGCTGCCGCAGACACAACTCAGCTTATAGACACCAGGGCATTGCATGTCCGGAATCGCATCCTTCACCGATGGGATCAAATCACGGATTGTGTACTGTATTGAACCGAACTTGAATCTTGAGTTTGTTTAAGATTTTGGCAATCCTTTTGGTGACCCCTGCTATGTATGGTAAGGTGATGGTTTTGATTCGGTCCTCAGATGGTTCTCTACCCATGGTTGGGGATGCAGCTCTATGGATTGCGCGGTCGGAATATCCATTCCTCCTGAGAGCCTGGCATGTGTTCAAGCTTCAAATCAAGATTATGTATTATTTCCCGAATAAGGCCAGCTGGCCAAATTTTAGTGTTTATTACCTCTCAGTGATGAAAAAATGCATTTCATTTTTAAATAAACTTGTTGTGCATCAATCTCGGGTTAGGCAGAGCAAAAATGAGTGAGGCTTTCCCCCACTTATTACCGTCTCCGAGTTGCTGCGAGATCAAGATATGTCCCTTTCTTCACAGAAATCTACTTATATATCACATTTGGTAAGACAGTGTCATGTAAAATAACTTAAGGCATTTGACAAAAACAAAAAAAACCTAACAAATCCCTCCACCTAAAATCCAATACTTCGAGCATTTTCATATGGTGACAATGTTTAAATACTGTGTACAGACAGTACTGTGGTATGGTTGCACAAAATCATGAATTTGAAATTAATTTAGCTCTGTCAATTTAATCATAACGGAAGCAGCCTCATTCAATTATTTGCGGGCAGAGATGTATAATTAATAAATACGACTTTATCGAATGCATCATGAGCAAATAACTGATGTTCCTGCAAATATTGTCCTCTATTCATGAGACATCGCATTCATGCTGATCATGTGTGGAAATCACTTAAAATCCCACAATACCATGGCGGCTGGGTGGCTCAGAGGTCAGACACTGAGCGGGTTCCACTGAGATCTTCAGCTTGAATCCGGTTCAGCTGTCTCTAGGTTCTCAAGTGTACCGAGTCAATGGTGTCAACCGGGTCACCAATGACTCCACCAAAATTACAACAAATTACACTTGGTACTTAATTTGGTTATAATTAAATATATCTGTAATGTAAAAAGATGCATTGACTTTGTCTTAGAAAAAGCAATCTCAACAGAGTATATTGGAAAGAGTCAACTCCTGTGTTAGGGATACAAAAATAATTATTTATTCATAAGTCTTAGGAAAAATTTCTTCCATAGCCACTCTGACAAGGGGACGCACTGTTATTAGAATTCCAAATGGATTCTTCATCTTTTGAAGAGACACTGGGAGAAAAAAATATCTTCCAAAAATATATTTTAAAAAACATTGAAATACAATGATTCCAAACTCACTGTGGCAAGTATGAGCAATATGCCCCATTGTTACGCGAGTTACGTTAAAAGTATTCAAAACAAATTTCAGCGGTTGTTGCTACATGAAACTTTGCATTACACCGCACAGGCGCCCAGCTGGAGACGGATGATGCCATTGGTGTGCAGCCTCAGCAGGTGTGCAAATTCCATCTTGAGATCGAAGACTTCCTTGACCTTTGATTCCTGGCTGCTTTGTTCAAAGTAGCTTTGCTGGACGGTCACGATGGAGGTCCTGGACCTTCTGCCCCGGCGACCACGGCGACTCACCGACGCAATTTCCATGGGCCAGAAGCCAAAGAGGTGCACCTCCTCGCAGGCTTCCAGGGCAGCGCTCGTCATGTGGAGGCCCGCGGAGAGGTACTTGGAAGCAAGGCCTTGGTGGTTCCACAGCGCTCTGAGCCCACGTGAGTAATTGGGGTTTAGGAAGAGGATAGACTGCCCTGTGGCAAAGTCATCCATGGTGTAGAAAGCCTGAGAGAGATGTGGGAAAATTTGGGTCAGGAAGTCACATCTGGGGCTGCATAGAGAGAGGTCTGGCATATGAAGTAAATTTCTGGATGCTTCCAATGTTCTTTTTTTTAATTGCTATTTGTCGATCAACAGCTTTCATAATCGCATGTAATATAATGCGCCGTATCCTGGTGTGTCTTACGTGGATGTGGTATCGTGAGTTTATCAGTTACACGACAGGTCCAGATAAAAAGCAAATATTAGAAATTAAAAGAGAGGTTGGGGAGATATTGGGGATGGATGTTTGTTCATCCTAGTACGGATTTGGGATGTATTGAGTAAGCTGAGAATGTTTGAATACACATGGTATATCTCAATAGATATAAAACAATTTAAGCACCTTCTTTTGAGCAGCAGCGACAATGACGAATGTTGTTCATGCTTATTGGCCTGTTGTGAAAACAATTATGGAAACTAGGAATATGAAATATGTCTGAGCCATTGCAGTAGTCTACAATTTCCTTATTCAACCAATACCTTGTAAGCGAGGTTGGTGTGCGTCAAGTGATTGAAGGCAGTGAAGAGGAAGTCACTGCCGTAATTCTGCATGTCTTCCACGAAGTTAATCCTGCTGTCCCTCAGGCCTGAGTACCTGCAACAGCAATATCCGCAGAGTCAAGCCTAATGAAGCAGTCATACAGTAGAGCGACATGTGGGGTGACTGAGAACCAGAGTGCAGAGACACAGAACAGCTCACACAGCAAGCTTGAATCAGTAAAATAGTGCGCACTCCTTCCATGAACGTGGTGACCGAAGAGTAATTAAACAGCCACACGGACACCCTGTGTATGACTGAATCACCCAGAATTTGCCCGATCTCTTCAAATCTCAGCAGCTGAGCAGGCTTGAGCCTGGATGCTTGGATGAGTAACTGCCACATATGTTAGGTCATCGGCGGCCGTAGAGCTGTGCTACGTGGTGGTCAGCAGATGGCAATGCAGTGGCGTCATTGTATCCAGGCAGGGCCGTCCATAGGGGGATGTGGGGCCCAGGGCCAATCACGCCATGTGTCCCCCCCCCCCCCCCGTCGCTTTCAAACTAAACAAAGGTTCGTTCATGGCTACATGAACGAATCTTTGTCGATAGCCAGTGGGTTTGCAAAGTACCTTCGTCTTAGAGAAATTTCGTGTGAGACCACCGCATTAAAACAATGATCAGCTACACTCATGCCATCCATATGTATAGACACAGACACAATTTCAACCGAGAAGATGGGTACAAACTGAGCAATCATTGGAAGGACGTTATTAACCAGTTTAAGTCATAACTGGCTGTGATGTTCCCATCCTGCCACCTTCCGATGTTAGTTGTTATTTTCAGCTCTGATTTTTTACATTAAAAGATTTCATTTCTCACACTAACACAGCTACCTCGCGCGCCATCCTCAAGGTTGCTGATCGGCGATCTGCCATTAACACGCTAATCTCTCACATTAACATGTTAATATTCTCACATCAACACGCTAATCTCTCACATCAACACGCTAATCTCTCACATTAACATGCTAATCTCTCACATTAACATGCTAATCTCTCACATTAACATGTGAATCTCTCACATTAACATGTGAATCTCTCACATTAACATGCTAATCTCTCACATTAACATGCTAATCTCTCAGATTAACATGTGAATCTCTCACATTAACATGTGAATCTCTCACATTAACATTCTAATCTCTCACATTAACATTCTAATCTCTCACATTAACATGCTAATCTCTCACATTAACATGCGAATCTCTCACATTAACATGCTACTCTCTCACATTAACATGCTAATCTATCACATTAACATGCTAATCTCTCACATTAACACGCTAATCTCTCACATTAACATGCTAATCTCTCACATTAACACGTTAATCTTTCACATTAACATGTTAATATTCTCACATTAACACGCTAATCTATCACATTAACATGCCAATCTCTCACATTAACATGCTAATCTCTCACATTAACACGTTACTCTCTCACATTAACATGTTAATATTCTCACATTAACATGTTAATCTCTCACATTAACATGTTAATCTCTCACATTAACATTCTAATATCTCACATTAACATGCCAATCTCTCACATTAACATGCTAATCTCTCACATTAACATGCTAATCTCTCACATTAACACGTTAATCTCTCATATTAACATGTTAATATTCTCACATTAACATGTTAATCTCTCAAATTAACATGTTAATCTCTCACATTAACATTCTAATCTCTCACATTAACATGCTGATCTCTCACATTAACATAGCCACCTTGGCGCGCTCGCTGTGGAGGATGCTCGGTGATCTTACTGTAATATGCTAATTTTTACCTAGCAGCCCTTTGCTTGGTGGAAACCCCACCACCGCCGCAGTCGCTGCTCACCACCTACATTAACACTGGCTGCTGACATTTGGGCAACACCCATTTCAAACCTTTATAAACAGTTGTCTTTAGAAGCTAACCCCTCTTTTCCCGATGACGACCGCTTGTGTTGCGATCGGAACGTCGTAGTTTTTTGTTTTGTTATTTTCTTTGAACCTATCTACGTGACTTGACCGAAAGACCCAAAGAATGACGTTTGTCTTCACTCAGATGCTGCGGGACTGTCCATGCACATCGATGTGGCCAGGGAGCGCTGTGGTATCAGCGTTTGATTCGCAGTCTGAAGGTTACAATTCCGACAGTTAACTCAGCACATTTATCCTCCAAGGTCGATTAAATCAATACCACTTTGGGGGACGTTAAGAGTGGACTTACTGTGGATAGACTGGTCCTTCTCATAGAAATGTAGAATTTCAATTACTGACTCGAATCCACCAATGGAGAGGAGAAACCACCTAGTGCTAATGTGTGCGTGAAGACTGCCATTTGTATCACAATTTGTTTAAGAAAGCAAACTCTGGAGTAGTTTTAAACCTACTGGGTCTCAGCAGATTAAAAAAAAAATGTGCTGCTCAGTAAGTGTGATGACATAAGACATGATAATATGTTTTCAGCCACTTTTTTTAAGAATGGCAATCTTGCTTAAAGGGATTTTATTTCCCTTGCACACATACTTGTTGACAATGAGAGATGGCTTCACAAAAACCAAGTTCGTCTTCTCACCCACGTCCATGCTGTATTTTTTGCTGATGTTTGGCAAGTTACACCTGGTCACAAAACAACAAAAACCAAAGACGTACAATGAATCTAAAGGAGGGACATTTCCTTCACGTTTGGGACTTGCACACACACAAGTGTGATGTGACAAGAAAAGTGATAATGAAATAAAATAAAGGCCTCTTCACTCAAGCCAAATGGGTGGCGTGTTGCTCAAGAGTAGCATGAATCGGCATCAATTTACACGATTGCATAACCTGGCAAATACCATACCGTGATAAAAACAAAACAAACAGTTAAGCGTCAATCAGCATAATTGTAGCAGTAAAATAAGTTGCAGCACATATTTACAGTATGTAGGAGAATGCATGCATCTGACGTGCGATTTTTAGAAAAAATGTGCACCATGCATGCCTGTGCCTCATGCTTCTATAAGAGGTAGCTTTAATCACAGCCATGTGGGTTGGTGAAGAAGTGACCCATACAGATATCATAGGATTTATACGTTGACAGCTTAAAATTAAGTTCTCTTTTTTATCCAGAAATAAACATTGTTATGTGAGACAATGGGCCTTCAGAATATAGCATTGGGGAAATACGTTTCTCACACAGTATGGTGTTACATTACATTACAGCGGTTGGCAACGTCTCACGTATTCAATGAGTCATCATCAACTGGGAGGTTGCACTAAAGACAAATATCGTCGTTGGATCTCAGAAGCCAAGCAGAGTTGAGTCTTGATGGTGCCCAATTGGGTGAATGACCATGCACGCAAAGTTGCTGTAGGCTTTAGGGTTGTGGCATGCAGCAAAGGGGAGTGCATATAAATGTTCTGTTGTAATGTACTTCATATACCCCTATGTCTATTCTCCCTGTCTTCACCAAACCGCACTGACCAGCGTGAAGTGTGACATAAAACAATCCAACGACCCCGTGACGTGGGAAGCCCCTCTACCGGCATTGCTGTGCATTGTGGGTTCAATGAGTGGATTTTAATCACAAACCTCATTATGAAGTCTGACTTATCAATCTCCTTTCCACATTTGCTGTTTAGCAGAAACCCAGAATTTCCCACTACAGCACATGTTTTCATCTTCATTTCAGGTCCAGGAAATGTCTGGAAAAAATAAGAATTACAATGACAAAAAATATTCAGCTTAGGGTTTCACACATCAAAACATGCAATTATGAGAAACAAAGATTTGGAATGTGTTTCATAGAGGTACTGTTATTATTCCCAATACACAATGGAATGACCTCTGTCACCACTCCTCCGCGCAGTGCCGTATCATAGTGCATTTGACGCACCCCTCAATCATTGCCATCATCATCATCACCACCCCTTGTGTGATGGCGTAATCATCCACAGGTGCTGTTGATAAAAAGGTGATTTTATCCAAAATCGTGGTTAACAGGAAGTGCTAATCTGTGGAACAAGTGGTGTTGCAGTGGTTATCAAGCTGCACTAAATCCGAGCTACTCAAAATTTATACCTGGTCACGGCTCACATCATTGCCACGTGCTAAACAGCATGTGGTATCTGAACTGGTCCTGGATCTTCCCCTTCACAAACCCACACACATACCAGTGTGGTGAACAAGACAACCCCATATCCAGCACGGTGAAAGGAGGTCTTCATCCAACAGTGGATTATAATCACAAAAATGTCACCTTGCAATGCGCACATTATACGACTCAGAAGCACGAGGAACCACAGGCAAGTGGAAAGGCAGTAGCCGGGCGATGTGCTGGCACCAACAATTGGCCAAGCTCTCTGGCCTTCTATATATTCAGATGGTTTTAGCCAATTAATTAGTGCTTACATTTGAGAGTGGGCAACACTCTATTCCCATACAGATGGAATAGATGGAGTCCGCATTAGCTGAACCACCTGGTAAGTCAGGGTATGGGAACCTTGACACTGACAAGGAGTTTCACAACATTTGTATGACCCGTCAAACCTCGCCACCACTGTGCTAGATTACCGGCTTGTGCCACTGTCAAATTGGCAAAGTGTTGCAACCTGCAGAAAACAGTAAGAATGATCGGCCCAAACCTCGTGGATATCAGGCGTCACGGATAAAAGGGGTTCTCTAAAATTACATAATTGTTTTGCATCTCAATACAATATATACTGCGATTCACCTGATAACTTAGTTCAGACATTTACAAAATATTAACACAAAACCACTGTCATCATTATGACACTACACCACAAGAGATGCCTCGGGGCTCTAGTCTGCCCATCGACAATTATAATACTATTTGCTGATACACCACTGAACTACCACTCACAAGGGTGGTGAGGGGACAGGACTGTCCCTATTGATCACCCCCCCCCCCCCCCCATACCTCTCTGGGACAGACTGCCCTGGGACTCGTTGATGCTGCCCCAGTTTCCCATTGGACTTATTGGACCACCCCTCCCAATGCATCCCTGTGCTCATCCCCCTTCCCATTTCACCTTCTTCACGAATGTTGCCCCGCACTTGTATAAAGCATTGTGAGATGCGGTTGCATTGAGATGCTACACACATAAAATGTTGCCGGTGTTGTATTACAATTGCATGATGGTGGGCTTAATTTTCACGTGCACATTGGATTGACTGCACTGTGGATATGTCTTCTTGAACAATTACCATTGGAATGATGTTGGTTAATTCAGTTCCAACTGTGAGCTGTGCGTTTCCAATGACGTAGGATATGTTGGAGCCAAGCGGAGAGTTATTCTGCGTCACCACAATGTTTGACGATCCATCCGTGAAGCACTTCATGTAGGTCCTGCACACAGCAGCGCCAGATGTTCACGGTCATTAAGAGGCCACACGTGGTAAGAGGGCTTGAGGTCAGAGGTTATTACGTGGAGTTGTGTCGCCAAACGGATCTCAAAAAGTCACGACATGTTGCTAGATAGTCAATGTACAGTCATCAAATATGTCCCGAGACAATTTACCAGGTATTGCACATTAGCGAACTCATGGAATATCCCTAATACACACCTGAAATTGCTCCTACATCTGCATAATATCCTCGCTAGATTTGTCCTTCGCCGCTTTAACAAAAATAATATTGTCATTGTGGAATTCCAAAAAGTTGCCAGAGCTAGTGATAAATTATCAGAGTTGGCAACACTGATGGAGTGGGAGGGATTGAACCCCCCCAAAATATTTATCATATCCAGTTCTATTACATTCAAATGTTAAGGATGAAGCATTCAACGTTGTTATTATATATATATAACTACATACAGTACAGGTACTGGATATGCAACATGTTTGGGAACATGTGATATCTACCACATTTGGCATGGAGACTAAAACAAAAACTTTAAATACCATACATTTTATCAACTACAATCGTGCGTGTAATGTAATTCAACACACACACTTACTTGTAGGTTTCTTTTTTAGACGCATTGGCCTTCCACCTGTTTTTGTTCACACTGATCGCTTCCTTAAGCAGCGAGTTATCCAGAGAACTAACACACATCCAACGGGGCATGGGTGCAGGTTGGTTCACATGTTCACAAGTTAATTCACGAGGCACTGTCCACAATGCACTGCATCAGAACACCATCATCACAACATCAACGGGCATCAACAGGCTGCTGCCCGCATCGTCATACATGCCAAATTTAAAGAGAGGCCTCAGTGCAACTCTGGCCATGCAACCAAAGCTGTGGACCAAGTAGAAATAACTATAGGCTGCATTCCTTCAACAAAGGAATGGCAAAACTACACAGACTATCCCCTGAAGCCCTCTCGTGGCTAGAAACCTTGACATTGGCATTTAGCTCCTCAATATATTACCACGCGCACGAATAGAACCTTGACAAGTTAGTTCACACATTTTACAAGATAGACCACAAGTTCACGCATCATTTCAGAAAGGTTACAAAGGAGGTTCACGAGTTGTTTTACAAGTTTACAAGTTAGTCTACACATTTTCATGCGTGCCAAATTCCATTTGATGTACTAAATTATCTTCCGGTATAAAACATATTCATAATAATCGTGTGTACAACCTTTTGTCAACCCATTGGATGAAGTCCTCCCCATGAACTACTATACCAGCGTGCCACCTGAAGAATGCTATTATTGTAATTTAAAATAGGGATTTTATTATTTCATCCTATCAACTTAATGCTAAGTGAAACTCTCAGGTGACTATGTTCACATTTTGCTATAAAAAATTTCACATTTTAAGCTCAATCATCAGTGCATTGCATGCAATGGGGTGACCCTGTTAATAGTAATACATTTAATTTAATTCTAACATATTTCTGTACAAAGCCAAAAAAGGCAACCTACTCATGCAATTGTCTCTTGCTGAATTGTCAGTGCTTTGTCAGGTGTATAGACTGTGGCGATATACTTGTGGTTCTGGTCATTTAATATCTTTGTAAGCCTATGTGGCATATTCTGTTGGAAATGTGTACTGTGTATAACTTGCCTCTTTATACTGAAACACTTCAGCAGGATAGTTGAATAATTTGTCAGACAAAAAAAGGACTCAATCCACTACATCAAACTTAGATGTGTCTCCCTGCAAATCATGATCTTATATATTCCCACTAAATTAGGTCCATGCAGAACTGTGTCATGAATGGTTTGCACATTACAGTGCCCTATCCCTGTTCTAGTTGGCTAAACATGTGCAAACATCAGTCTTGAGGAGGATTTTTCCTATCACTTGGATTCAAGTCCTCAGAAACGTTTTTCACTTCTCATATGTATGTACGTTGAACTTATTTCGCACCATACGTAGCCAAACGTATGTTGCAACTACAAATCCATAATTCTGGACGTACAAACAATTGTTAAAATCCATAATCTATGTTGTATGTATGGTGAACTTCTTTTGCACCGTAAATAGCCGACGTGCCAATCAGAGGTGCGGGGGAAGGACAACAAACTAAACACAAAAAGCAGTTTCAAAGAAATTAGTTTTAAATCTAGATTTAAAAGGGCATAGCTCCAGTGGCTGCAGAAGCACATCCGAAAGCGAGTGATGCAGTGACCATCTTTGTTCGATGGCTAGCCAAAAGCTACTTTATCTAAACATGTGAGGATGTTTTTTTCGTGTGAACACACGTGTATCCCATCATTGCAGGTTACCTCCTTCAAGAAGGCCTTTGCCTTAACATAAACTGTGAAGAAACATCTCTGCCTGTGTGTAATCACATCCACTGTTGCAGAGGTTGATTCTGAGGGCCTGCTTCGGAGGTGCAGCAGGAAGCGAGGGTAATGTGATATGCTTATGTGTGGCACCTTTTAGGGAGCGCTATGGGTTTTAGAATGAACTCGGGTCTTGTACACGAAGTCACAGATTGCACGCGGACGATCTTTTTGGCTCGTCTCACACTGAAAGAAACAAAAGCGCCTTTTTTCAAACAGCAAGCCAAGATAAACCATGTCTTTGTAATGCTGCATTGGCAGCAGTGCACAAGCACAAATAACACAAAACACTCAACACATTCCTTAATAACACTGCCTCAATGTTTATAATAGGCAACGTTTCAGGCAATGGCCCCTCTTCACAGCTGTATTCCTCTGACCTCACTATGTGCTGTGAAGAGAGCCATTGCTAAAAAAACGCCAACTACTTGATTGTATGCTTTCATTTTTAGGCAAAATAAACATGTAGATTATTATTGTGTATTACAGGTAAACACATCACAAAGACAAGAATATGTAGTGGTATGTTTTATAAGAACTGTCTTGAACCATATTACATGCATGTGCTTTATCAAACATACTATAATGCCGAAGGTTTATCTTCCTGTTAGCGTGCAAAGTGTTGAAGTCTGGCCTGATGAGGCGTTACGGTTAGGACTGTTGCTCTTGGCTCATGATTATTAAAATAAATATTGTTTATTTAAAAAATAAATCAAAGTTAGCGATTAAAAATTTTCATAGCTCGTAAAAAAGTCCCACACCTATGAGTTCTCATTAGAAGCTGTCAAAGTACAAAACCAGGCCGACTCTGGAGAAATCCAATGAGCTATTTTCACAGATGTCCAGTAGGGGCGGATTAGAACGTTACAACAGCAAAGAATAAAAAAAACAGGAATTCAAAGTATAGGAAGGGTAAACATCACTAAAAATAAATACGTTAAATAAAGTATATAAGTACAAATTGTATAAGGAGACCAATTCCGAAGCTTGGGCCAGGCAGTAAAACAACAGAAAAAACAGATCCAGATCACACCAAGACAACACACAGTCCCTCAATAAAATTGCACGTAAAAAATCGGTAAGGATGAAAGTTACAAATGACATTGGCAAATGCAGTCGTATCCAGCACTAATTTTCTGCTTCAGGTTATTTTTTTGAAGATTTACGAGGTTCTTCCAAAACGTTGCTGCTGCAACGGCAAAGGCTTTGTCACCTATTAATGTCCTTGGGATAGTTAAAAGGCAAATAGATGGACGACTCTAGTCATTTAACATCATGACATTTTACAAGCGGATGATGGCCTATTGAGACTGAGTCTTCATTTCCCTGTGAAAGGAGCGCAAGAGACACATCGGTCATTGTTCAAAGAAAAGAAAGCTATAGTTAAGGTCAGAAATTTTATCAAACAATAGTTGATATTGAAAATTAGAAGATGCAGGCCAAGCTGAAAGAAATCACATTAAAGGTGTTAGAGACAGTGTCAAACACAAACAGATTAAAAGAAGTTGCTGATTGAAATAGGGAGCTAGAGCATGGCATTGTCCTCTTCATTTGTGAGAGATCGTGGCAAGAGGAATTCTAAGAAAACCGGTTTATAACCAGTTAAGAATTGCAGTGGCACATACGTTCAGTGCATGACATCTGACACAACTGGTTTAACCACGAGACTCGGTGGAGTCATTGAGAAAACATCAATCCATAGGGCGAAAAGCAATTGGCTTGAGTTGCATAATACCAGAGAACGAAAAAAAGAACCAAAGTACAAATATACAAATGCACAAAAGCAGTAAAAGAGATGTTAAATAGGGCCAATAGAATATGGAGGAGAGGACTGCATTTGGTAGAGAATAGTAGCCACGGCCGTGGGATTGGAATAGAAATGAAACGTCTACATTTTGAGGGCTGCTTTTTTCTGAACATTCCATGCAATTGTAGCTTTTCAGAATGTAAGTTATCTTGAGGGAACACCAGTGTAGGGCAGGTGTTGCAACGGTGACATTGTTACCATCGGGCAACTCATAGAAAAGAGCTGGGAATATATTAATTAACTTTTATTTAGATTTATACCAGTTGAGTAAGCATACAATTCTGTATACTTTTAAAGACCGAGGTAAAAAAATAATAATTGCGGGCAAGATAAAGCAATTGCTTAACAATGTTCATGATGTGCCTTAGGCTTGGTGTCTTGTTAGCAGTGGTGGGTGTACATCATTGACAGTGGAGAGGTCTGCCACTCATTTCTTCGAAATGCACTGGAGCCTGATTCACATCGTAATTGTTCTCTAGCAGATGGATTATCTGGCCTTAAATTCTGTACCGAGCTACACATTCCCATGGCTCTATGTGTATGTGCTTGGATGACATCTGTAAAACAAAGTGAAAACTTCTTCCCATTGACACGGGTGTAACCTCAAAGTATCTCTTTGCTCTATTGATGTGAAATGATGCACCAACACAATCTGAATAATGGTTAACCACTTGTTCATCCCCACTCTTGCTGCTCACAGTTAAAATGTTTTCACCGTTGCGCTCGGAATTGGCAAGAATCTTCCTATATTTCCGATATTTTATTGGCTCTCAGTGATGTAATTGATTTTATAAGAAATGTTACTTTTCTTTTTATCATAAACAAATTATAACAAAATAAACTTTGCACCATAGACAGGGTGAATATACAATACATGGAGAGCAACATTCTCAATGTCCATAAAATATCAAATGCTACAAAACAGCACTTGTAAAGCAGTGTTGTGATGTCGATAACATTCATTAAAAGATAATTGCCATGACAGCAGGCTACTGCGTGTGGGCTCCGGTTGTGTTGCATAAGCTCAGCCAACGTTGCTAGGATGGAAATGAACAGATGAGGCTTACCCTTTCCTTCTGTGCTCGCAGTACGAACATGCTCAGCTCACCTGTTTCTCGGTCTCATGTGCCTCCTTGGTGGTCGATTCTCCGTTGCCACGTTTTGGTTTTCCGATGTATGGTTGGAGAATAATTTGAGTGTTGAAACGTTCATATTATGCGATTTCATGTGCCTGTTAAAAATGAAGAGGGCAGCATACATTTGCGAATTATAGAACAGCTGTATCAGGCCATTAGCAATCACAGTAATACTTTACAGCCCTTGGTCAATCCACTGCTGCAATCCAAGTTCTTTCCATGCTGTATCGGTCATGGGGTTTGTTCGACTGTACTTTACTGCGCTGGTCAATGTGTGTCGGTGGAGTGAGTGGGAAATCAGTCACGAAATGAACTATTTACAATAAATGCATTGCACAGGACAATACTGATTTGTTTATAATTACTGGACAGCACGAGATTCACATGAAGAACAGTCATAATTTACCCATCTAGATTGTGTTTTGCTTCTGACAACACCACAATCACATTCAACTCTCTTCCCATTTACATTCCATCAAGAGTCACACATTTGTTGGTTTCAGAGGAGCTGTTACCTGTGACTTCCCATCCACCAATCCTTTTATCTGCAGCACGAATTGATACTCCAAAACTCCTGTGATGTGTGGCTAGATTTGTACAATTAGTCACAACATTTCCGTGGATAAGAATTTCCACCCAGCAGTGGTCGTACGGAATATCCTCTAAATCAGTGGTCATCAACCTGGCATGCACGCACCCCCTGGGGGTATGAGACGCCCTTTCTGAGAAGCAAAGGGTGCACTGCAGTAAAGGTTAAGAACCACTTCTCTAAGTTCATCCAGCTAACTGCAATTGCCATGGATAAAAATGCGTATGATGCCAACAAGTATTGAGATTATCATTCTTATGCTGCTGTGGCTGATGCTGCTGATGATGATGTGATTTATCCAGAGTCTCAAGACACTTTGTCAGGAAAGTACTAATTTGGAATGCTTGACAAGTGAATGTTTGAGGAGGATTTTGTACATGGGAATACCTGGAACAAACTCATGCATATAAGGCGGTGACACTAAAAGGTCCACACAGATATGTTCACGTACACACTTGCTGAACACTACCATCTCCCTCCCATCGGGTTTGGCAGGGGGATGTCATCGGCCAATGCTCACTGGCGCTGCAGTGTATGTGCGGATCAGACTACAGTGATGGATGGCAGCCAAAGAAGAGAATGCACCCGAGGGGATGGTCACAAGTGAACGACATTGACAGAGCCATCCCAAGGGTATGATAAATCAGGGTGATTGCCCCGGGCCCCACGTTTTGGGGGGGGGGGCTCACTATGATGTTACGGTGTCAGATGTAATACTACCAGTTTTATTTGAAGGCTTCGGGGGGCATGATGGTATTTGTCCCAGGCCCCGCAACCCCGCTATGGACGGCCCTGACTATTGATTTTGGCATTGCAGAGTTATGAGGGATGTTGACAGCATGGGGCGGTCTTTTTCCAGCAGTCGATAAATATTGGCGAATCATGAAAATATTTTGTAAATGAAGATTGATGATGATGATCATAAGATGGTGATGAAGATGATGATGTAATTCTTTCTGCTGCTGCAGTCTCCATTAACTGCTGCAACCATGACATAAAATACAGGAGACCCATGAATATCGTTGGGGTTATGTGGTTCTTGAAAATGCCGTGAAAGCCAAACGCGCAATATTCATTACGTACGTCTTACCTAAATATTGGGGTTGGGTACACGACAACCAAAAACAGACAGCATCACAATTGAAATAAGTACTGTGCTGTATGCAAATTTTTTTTTCAATAAAAATGTAAAACCGGATACGAAAAACATTCCTAGACAATGAATAGAAATAGAAATACTGAATAAATACTGTACCTATCAATGATGATGATGATCCAAAGCAGGGGTGTGTGTTTTTGTCTGCGAGTGGGGAGCGGTAGTGCTAAGATTAGCGCGCTGCGCTACGAACTCGGTCACCCGAGTTAGATTCCTGCTGACGCCCAACACCAGTGGCGATTATCCGAATCGGTCCTGGGCCTCCCCTAAGTCGCCTCAGCCTCAAATAAGCGAACGATAAACCCGCGAGATTCAAGGGTGTCCTGTACTACCCCACCACGCTGTGCCACGGCACTACACGGCACGCGACATGGCACACCACACTACACCACTTCACTACACGACCACACTACACCACCATACTACACAACGACACTGCACGGCACACTATAATACACAATCCTACGACACAACCACACTACATCAATGCATTACATGGCACACAACACTACACCACCACACTATGCCATCACATTACACCACCAGTCCACACTACACCAACCCACTATGCCTCCACACTACAAATCTCTTCCCCAACCATCCGCCGCAATGCTGCAACCATCCGGAAATTCCTGCAAATCGAGGAAAACAGTCGCGTTCCCGTTCATCAAGACCTCAATAACGTCCCTCGTCATCGTTTGAAGTCACTCAAGACCTTTAGGACCCATGCGCTTAACTCTCAACAATGCGAATTCAACCGCGACGAAGCCTGGAGAGTTGAATGGAGTTCAAAATAACTCGCAAACAAACATCTTGTAAAAGACCCAACGCAGAAGAACCCTGGGTTTGATCTTCCACAAAGCGCATGGTCCCCCCTTAACCGTATCCGCACAAACCATGGCAGATGCACAAATGGAAAATGTAAAACTCTTTGGTGTGCAACTGTGGTCATCCAGAACAGACCATACAACATATAACAACGCAATGCCCGATCCACAAATACGAAGGAGACATCACAGCGATACACTCCGCTGCTCCTGACGCGGTTATCTGACTTGACCACCTGGATGTGAAATTGTAGTTGATGCTGTGCATCTACATCAGCCATACGAAAGAAAAAGATCACACTACACCACCACACTACATGGCACACCACACTACACAACCACCACAATGAAGCTCTTTTGCCTAATCCTATCATGTGCAAGATTTTGTGGAAAAGACACGCAGACATGGCTGCCTTTGTGCATAGAATCAATCCCATTATCTGTGAATGTTCACAAATGGGTGGCGTTGCATGTTAACTTGATGCTACTATGTTGTGGGTAAGAGTGAGTAGAGTAATAATTTTCGACGATAATAGGATGAGAGAACTCCTCTTTTCAATGGATCTGCTCATCCGTGAAGGGTATCCGCCACCTCAGCACGGTTAACAGGGCCCCCGCTGAAACAGTGAGGACAGTGCGAGTGTATAACGCGAATGCCTGCATCATGCCTGGTGGTACACGGCACAGTATTGTCTTGGCTCCTGTGCAGCAAGAATACTATAACCAAAGATGTCCAAATATGTCCTGATGTTGTGTTTGTGTTACATCACACCACCAACCGTGGGATCCACTTATTTTCCCATGGCCAAGTATCACTGCATTTGTCTAAAAACAATACTTTTCTGCCCAAGTGTGGGAGGACTCTCCCATGTTTTAACGCAGTCACCTCCGATTAGCCCGGTTGGCCACGTTCAGTGTGAAAGAAGTTAAAAGTCCATATGTACAACTAAAATAGGATGATGTTCGCAAACAGCAGTCAGGCAGAGTGGCGTTATTGATATGTAAAAACTAAAATAGGATGATGTTCGCAAACACCAGTCAGCCAGAGTGGCGTGAGCTTTCCCGTGCTGGTATCCTCAGAAATCCTAAAAAGTTGCCAATCACCAAAATGTTAACACGTGGGTTGGGGCATTAATAACCCAAACACTGCTCTGCACAAGAGACATGGCCATCACAGCCGATAGCTATGAAAATAATAGGAAAGCTCCACCCTCTCCTGCTAAAAATCCAAAGCGTGACGGCACAAGTTGTCTTGGTGAGGTAGCCGAGTGGTTTGGTTGTCGGAGCGGTGACCTGGCACTGCTGACTGGTGTCCCCTGACTTTGAATGCAGGAAGCCACCTGTGACTTTTGAGTTATGTTAAACATCCAGATTTAAGACCACGCAGCTTGAGTAATTGTTGGTGCTGGTTAGGACTGCCTTCCCGCATTGTCTGCAGTTTCCTGCACCTCTAAATCATTCCCTTCCCTGAGAATGAACTCATGCTATGCGTGTCATAAACTCTACATGATGACTATGAACTGGGTTTTAAAATGTAGTGAGTTGATGGTCTCAGTCCAGTAAACAATGACTGCATACGAAAACAAAATCATTATTACATTTATTTCTGCACTTAATTTGGCCAAATTCCAGGTGTAAGAGTGAAATTATGTAAGGTTTTGATTTAAAGCTTTCGTGACTGCAGGGATTCATATTCTTGGTTCTTTCGGTAAAGTCACGTAGAAGGGAAACAATAAAATAATAAAAATAATTTTTATTGTTTTATATTTGTATTATTTTATTGATTCCCTTCTACGTAACTTTACCGAAAGAACCAAGAATATAATTACGTAAGGTTGTTAATCGAATAACTTTAACCTCAGTGGCAGAGTGGGTAGTAAAATGCTGTTCCATACTGTATGGACCAGGTCACCTTGAAGAGATCTCAAAAAGGTAGTTAGTTCTGTATTTTGTGCTACCTTCGGCTGTTAGCGTAATACAAAGGGTTTCACTGCTCTGTAAGAAATGTGAATGGACATTTCATTGCATTACATGATGAAGTACAATCAGGGTAAAACGGGAGGAAATAGAGCAATAAAAGAAAAAGAGACCTCTCTCAGTTTGTGTTGGTGATGTAGAGTGCCCATCTTCTCCATCTCGGATAGCTACATGGCAGCCTGCGGTATGAACGGAGCCACACCAAGTTTATCTCTCACTACCATGCACTACTTGTGCCCTGGCCAGCAAGAACGCTAAGCTGAATTTAGTTGAGAAATCAGCCTTCCCTGAAAATGTGTCTCCAGTCAACTTGACACACACAGTAGCATCCCATTCTCGGAATCCCCTTCCTCACTCTTATGATTCTCTCTTACCCGCCATATTTCATTATCCGCTTTTAATTCCATGGGTCCAGACATGTCAGTACCACCTGAGGTGGAATTACATGAGGGGTGCCAACTTCTCTATGTGGCCCACAACAGTGAATCACGTGATAACCTGGCAATAAAGTGAATGGGGTCATCACACGATTCACTCGTATTCGCCGATTAAACACATCGCTGTAACTAAGGTTTTGCCACCTTAGGTGGTGCCGATTATTTGCTCTAGCCCTTGGACTACTTCCTTTGAATTGCCTCCATCTAGTGCCTATAATTGTGCAATGGATAATATCTCTTATCGCTACTTTAGGCTAAAATTCGCAGTGGTTTAAACCACGTATTAAGTATCACTCTTCTTTCGTGAATGTGTCATTAAACCCGCGACCACCCGACACAGCTAATTATTAAGGTTTGTCACTTAAACAGAACATGCCAATTCGCTGCTAGTACAACACACTGGTGTGTTGGTGAGCAAATCCACAGCATTTACAATTTACATTTGTGGATTTACTCTTCAACACAGCGGTGTACTGTACTAGTAACGAATTGACATGTTCTGTTCACGTGACAAACCTTACTTAATTAGCTGTGTCGGGCAGCGGCGGGTTTAACAACACATTTATATTTACGCGATCTAACCCAAAAAAACATATTATGGATGACATTGGTCGCGACAGCCTACGTGTTAAACTACCTAATAGCACTTAAAATTCTGGTTTCAGCAACAATGTACACATGCAAATAGAATAAACAGAATTTTTGCCAAAAAATCTACAAATTTAATCAGAGATTAAAATCAATAGTAAATAAAAAAATTTTACCCTTGCATGTTTATCATGAGAAAACACGATTTCAACATGCTTTCTAAGACTTGGAATGCACCCTCAGCTGTGGCTATCCCCGCTGGCAACCACCTCTACAAGCATGGAGCTCACTCTGCAGGCAGGCAGTAGGAATTTCCGTCGTCTCTTTAACCTGACTTTACATTTTTTTACCATAAACTCCACAAAAATGTGACCTCTTACGAGCAGCTCTCCACTAACCCCCCACTGCTCTCTCAACGCTGTTTCCTACGCTCCCCACCAAAACCAAACTCAAAAGTGTGTGCCTGACTTTTATGATGTTAACACAAGCTTACGCCTCTGCTGCTTTCCACATGCATGGTGACGATCCATGTAATTCTATCTTTACCACCTCTGTGTCACTTTATGAACTCCATGCATCCTTCTCAATTGTAAAGGACGTCGAAGGGTGATCCTTATTCGGCAGTCATTGAAGTCGTTACTCGCAGCTAAGCATCATTTTCCCGGTTTCATATGAGCTGGTCGCTGTATCTGACTGATTATGATTGATTGTGCGGGGCAACCAGTAACAATCAATGGTCTGTTCGACGAGCGAGCATGAGATTGGCTTGCGAGCTTATATGGGAATTCACGGGAGTTCTTGAAAGGGTAACGACTAAAAGAAGCTTTGGGAGCATGGGGGCCAGGAGAGTATTTAAGGGACAGGCAAGGAGAACTCGAGGTCTTTTGAAGATCTCCCTACACGTGGACTGTTGTTAAATAAAACACCTGCTGCACTCTTAATATCATCTCTGGCTCATTTCTATGTCCACACTCGATCTCGTTATCTCCAACACTCTATCGGACTCGGCTTTGTATGGGACACACACTTTTGACTTCTAAGCTTATGAACATTGGCGCCATCACTCTACCCTCGAATTCACCTGTCACTTTGAGTGATGACTGCTTCATTTGACAACTCCTTCCAGACACGTCTCGTTCACGTCACTGCTCCGACATTCTGCTTATTTAGTCTTACCTTAATGAATCAACAAAAACTAATTCCACCTTGTCTACTGCTGTGAATGATATCGCCTCTACAAAGACTTGTAACTTTTTTAGATCCACCTTGAATACGATCACACATTTGTAAGAAAAATACAATTAGTTTTAGACTTGAGCGAAGACGAGTCAGCTGTGCCGAGTCCACATCAGACTCAAATGTGCTGCCCGCCCCATGTTCATTGAATGACCTCGTAATCAGTTGGCAGAAGAGTAATAGACAAGGGATAGCAATGTAGTAATGAAAGGGAAAATGTACACTTACATATTTATACAGTGAGATTAAAGCTGGAAACAAAGAATATAAATGTTAGTGAGGTCATAATATACAGATGAGACAGCAATATCGTGAAATGAGAGAGATGTCGACAAGGGAGATTATAGAAAAGAGATGAATACGATGCAATTGTAGTGATAAAATATAGTAAGATAACGTGATTATAGAAATATTCAGACACAATATCAGGTAGGAGATGCATTTACATGAGCTAACAGAGATATCATGGAAATGTGTTATTCAAGACGTACAGTGAGGTAAAAAAGTATTTGATCCCCTGCATTTTTGACATGCATTTTTATGGATTTTGTTGTTGTTATTCTGTCTCTCACTGTTCAAATAAACCTACGATTAAAATAATAGACTGATCATTTCTTTGTCAGTGAGCAAACGTACAAAATCAGCAGGGGATCAAATACTTTTTTTCCCTCACTGTAGACAGGTGACAGAAGATACATTCAGGTGAGATATAAGGGAGAGGTGGTAGAAGAGAGATGCCCTCAAATGAACAAGACAAAATAAGTGAGAGAGATGTGGTATGAATGATCGCTGAAATTGACAATTATCACTGCGTGTTAGGCAATCTTTTGAAACACATTCCGGGTATCTATAGGGCAAGTCCCTAACGGAACACAACTTTGTTCTCAAGTTGTGTATTTATATTGGATCATCTCTACGAGAGATAAAGTGACCACCTGTTACCGACACACAGCACTAACTATAAATGGATCTTTGAAATCAAGGCCGTAATTATAATATATATTGGAGGGACACATCCCCCCCAATATTCAAATATGCTCAAAATGTCCCCCCAATATATTGCTATTAAAAAAATTGCTATGCTATGTAAATAAAAAGAACAATTTCCTAAACCTCGGCCACAATATCTGGACTTGTCTTCATATAAATCAATGCATAGATTTCTGTTTATATGATTGTGGTTATGGTTGTACTTGATTAATCCCTAATCTCTGCCATTACATACAATGAAATAAGAAATGGTAACAAAAAAGTTAAAACAGAGTAATGTAATACAATATACACTATTAGACATTATTGTAAAAAAAAAGTCCATCTCATGTGTTAGTGATTTTTAAAATATTTTAGGCAGGAAATTAGTTTTCAAATTTAGATCTTTATTCTGGGTTGGGACCCCCAGACACCCTGAGAGATTTGGTCCCCCCCAATGTTGACCCCATGGCTACGGCCTTGTTTGAAATGACTCTCATGTGCGTCCGTCACTTCAGTGGTGCTCCAGAAGGTCACTTTATAGTGTCGCCTTTCTTTCGGATTCTCATCGCAAAAAAACCACACACAATGTAACTGGTATTGGGACAGACATCTCGATGCTGATTATTTACCTGTAATTGACCTGTAAAATTACTTAAACTGTAAAATTACTTTCAATATAACTGACCTGTAAAATGACTTAGTCGGGATTACACACAGCAACATCACGCTCGACTGCGAAAAGCTTGGCATGACCCTCATGACAAGGAGGCTTAAGACTCAGCGAGGCATTCCTGAGCAAACAAAGCCTGATGATCAGCAACAATAAATCTACGCGTTGCTTTTAACCTATGACCATCTCCACGTGCTCTGACCACACACGGGTGGGTGCCCAGTCACCTGGAGGGGGTTAGCTCCAGTCGGATGATCTCTTTCATGAGCACGAGCACCAGCAGGGTCAGTCCCACGCTGAGCAGGAGGCGCACGTGAAGGCGAGCCATGCCAGCCGAGCTTCGCCGAGATCCTTATAGCAGTGGCGAGAGCTACAGAGAGAGAGAGACAGATACTCAGCTGTGTACTGCAGACTGGAGCCTCGCAGAGTACGGACATGAACAAAGCTGTAGACTCACGACTCCTAGACGCACAGCTAGACAATGAACTCGGCTCTCGACTATAATTGAACGAATTAGACGACACGGCTGTAGGATGACACGTCAGTGACAGAGCTATCGACTATACCCACACAGCATAAAAAAATCTGCCGGAGGTTATGTGCTCGCGGCAGAGACAGGCACTCGGCTCCAGACTCACAGCGCCGACTCGTCTCTAAATTCACGACTGGACCCACAGCGGAGAGACAAAGGACTCGACTTTTAGACTCACAACTCTTGGCACGACGCTCGATCCGCTTGTAGCAAGCAGCAGCAGCAGGGAGCGACTTGTGCCAGCCGTGCCGTTGCTGCACAGAGCAGTTGTGTTCAGGTGTGTTACCTGGACCCCTGCGTGCCGTGATACGTCGCGTCTCCGCCTCCTGTACCTTGCGCTGATGTTACAGTTATGAATATGTAAACGAATTACGTAAGCGTCGTTCATTCATCAGTGATGGGTGCGTTTTCTCGACGCAAATCGCTTCATCGCGACATTGTGTTTCCTCTCGAAGAAGACGGAAGTTGTTGCCCGGGTGCACGTTGAGCAATGCTTATTCGCGGGTTCGGAATGTTTAAAGTGTAAAGAGACACTCTCGTGTGGGTGGGGAGGGAGAGATTGTGAAATTCCTCGTGGAGGAAACAGTACAAACTGGTTTTACGCGGCATCGGGGTAGGTAGGAGGTTGTCGTCGGGCTGCTGAATGCAAAAAAAATGACGACCGCCAGAAACCAACGTGGGACGTTTGTTACAACACGTACATATTTACTTTGGTGATGCCCTTGTCCAAATAGGGGCCTGTGGAATTAAGCTTGAACGCGCACTCGGCCTATACCAGAGTACTCCCGATATGTGTGTAAGTCCATGCGTTTGTGTGTTAGTCACTCTGTGTGCGTGGCTCCATGTGAGTCAGTGTAAGTCTATTTCTTTGCCTGTCTGTAGGTCCACGTGTGCGTGTGAGTGAATGTGTGTGCTTTATTGACCTGGTCAAGGCATATGATACCATCAGTAGGCCTGGCCTCTGCGTTGTTCTTCGTGCTTTCGGAGTCCCTCACCCTTTGCTCACAATCCTTAAGGACCTTCACGATGGTGAGCGGCCCCACGCCAAACTACATGGCTGTCTGCCTTTATCGCCCGGGCAACGCCGGGTACTTACCGCTAGTATCTACATAAATGTAGTGTTCGATTTCACTCGGACAACTTCTGTCTTTCTCCGAACACCGCTTTATTTACAACTCTCAGCATGTCCTCCACATTCCACAGTGTCCTGGTCGCCACGGCTCGCTCGCCACCTTTGTCTCTCCACTCCCCACGATTACTTCGCTTACTCCGCCGCTAACTTCTTCGCTCTCCGCTATCACCGTCGCTATGTTCTCTCCACTGCTAACTGCTTCGTCTCTGTTCACCGCTATCACCGTCACTGTGCTCACTCCACTGCTGGCTGTTCTCGTCTTCAGCTCCGCTATCGCTACGCTCTCTCCACCGCTAACTACTTCGTCTTTGTTCAGCTTCGCTATCGCTACGCTCTCTCCAAGCTCCGTCTCCAACTCCGTCTCCCTTCCACTCTGTCTTCCAAACTCTGTCTCTCAAACTCTGTCTCTCAAACTCTGTCTCTCAAACTCTGTCTCTCAAACTCTGTCTTCCAAACTCTGTCTTCCAAACTCTGTCTCTCAAACTCTCCACACTTCAATTCCCCCTGTTGACTCCAAGCTCTCCAAACTCCAACTCCCGCTCCAATTGCCGACCCCCCAATTTATCCATGCTCTCATCACACCCCAATTAATAACCCGCGTCCCAACGGCACCCCGCGTGATCCGTACACCTGTTTCTCGCCAGACTTCAAGACGCCTCTCCAGCCCCGGCAACAGCACCAATCAATCACAGCCGTCGTTGGCTCTCCCAACCTAATTGCCCTCACATAATCTGTACTGTATTTGTTATCATGTAATCACGCTGTTTCCACAACGCACCTTCATACTCCATTACATCACAATAACAAAAATCTAGCCGTCCCGGCTACACACTTCGACCTCTGGGTAGTGGAGTACCTTGGACATAACAATGAACACAACATAACAACTTCTTTGGTTCTTTTGGTAAAGTCACGTAGAATGAGAATAAAATAATAAATTAATAAAATAAAATAACACAATAAAATTCTCACGACGTTTCGGCCACAACACAAGTGGCCTTCATCAGGTGAAGGGACGAGACTGTCTCGAGGACAGCGCTGGAGCGAACACAGTCAAGCTCAGACCGCGACCTTTAAGCTGTGTGAGAAGAAACAGAGCACCTTGACAAAGGAATTAGCATAAAAATTAGCATTTAATTGGCGGACTTAGCATGATGAACGGTGTAGAGGGGGTGAACATGTGCAGACCAGCGAGGGGGGGAGGGGGAGTTTACATATTGATGGTGTGAAAAGGGAATTTAAGCTGCTGTAAAAGTTTGGGATACCACTACTTGAAAAAATATACTGTACCATTGAAAATTAGTTTAATGTTTGGTTCGGATAATTTGGCATTGAAATAGCTGCGTGATTAGCTTGTGACTGGTCACAGAAATGGCTATGTTAAAGTCAAAGCCCACACATCCACAGAGGCCCCTAGTACAAATCAAACAACTTTGTACAAGAACCGCAACACGCAGAGTCAATAGAAGATCCGTCCTCGGGAGCGAGTTTCAGCTGCCGGCCCATTTCCCCTATACGGGACACCGTGGGGCAAGGGCGGGCCACGCTCCTCCGTTAAGTGAGGGCTGCGTCTGGTCCTCGACGCACACCCGTCCCTGTCCCAGCGACCATCTGCCGGCGGGACCGTCCCTCGTCCCTGCGCGGGCCGGACAGTATCTCGAGGTTGCGGCCGGTAAACCGGCGTCCGGCCAGCAAACCTGCCAGAACCCCCTCGTCGAGTCAATAGAGGAGAAGCTTTTGCAGTTGGCGAAGGAGCTACGAGTCCTTTCACTTCCTGACAGCAACAACGACGACGACATGTCGTCTCTACAGATCGCCAGGAACATCCAAGTCAACCTAGACCTCAGCGATGAGCCAGCGGTGGTGGGTGTGCAGCCGCTGCTGATGAGCGCTGCCGCGTCCGAGAGCGCGGTGGCGGTGGGCGAGGCGCCGCCGATTGCAGCGGCGGCCGGGGTGCCACCCGCGGGCATGCTGCGTCATCCCGCGATGTATGGAGGTGGCACGCAGCGGACGTGCTACGAGTGCGGACGGAGAGTACATCTCGCCCGCGACTGCTGGCGGCGCCGGGGCGGCCTTCCAAGGGCGCCGATCAGCTACAACCGAGGATTCCCCCAGGACCGAGGATTCCGGGACCATCCCTATTGACTCGATGAGGGGGTTCTGGCAGGTTTGCTGGCCGGACGCCGGTTGACCGGCCGCAACCTCGAGATACTGTCCGGCCCGCGCAGGGACGAGGGACGGTCCCGCCGGCAGATGGTCGCTGGGACAGGGACGGGTGTGCGTCGAGGACCAGACGCAGCCCTCACTTAACGGAGGAGGGTGGCCCGCCTTTGCCCCATGGTGTCCCGTATAGGGGAAATGGGCCAGCAGCTGGAACTCGCTCCCGAGGACGGATCTTTCATTGACTCTACGTGTTGCGGTTCTTGTACAAAGTTGTTATGTTTTGTTGTTCATTGTTATGTCCTAGGTACTCCACTACCCAGAGGTCGAAGTGTTGTCGTAGCCGGGACGGCTAGATTTTTTCATCACGGGGAGGGTGATGTAGTGAAGTAGAAAGGTGCATATTGCATGGAAACAAAGACGATGCAGTTTATGTTGGTTCAGCCTGTTGTGAAGGCAAAGTCATTGGGTTCATGTTGGGTCAGCCTGTAGCGAAGGCAAATACAGTGCAGGTTATGTTAGGGCAATTAAGCTGGGAGAGCCAAGGACGGCTGTGATTGGTTGGTGCTGTTGCCAGGGCTGGAGGGGCGTTTGGAAGTCTGGCGAGGAACAGGTGTATGGTCACGTGGAGTGCCGTTGGGATGCGGGTTAATTAAATGGGGAGTAATGAGAGCGGGGATAAATTGGGGGGTCGGCAATTGGAGCGGGGAGTTGGAGTTTGGAGAGCTGGGAGACAGAGCTGAGGGTTGGTGGTTGAAGTTGGAGAGCTCGGGGTGAACAGCGGGGAATTGGAGAGTGGAGAGCTTGGAGACAGAGTGGGAGACCGAGCTTGGAAACAGCATAGTGATAGCGGAGCTGAAGAAGAGAATAGCCAGCAGTGGAGAGAGCGTAGCGATAGCGGAGCTGAAGACGAGAATAGCCAGCAGTGAAGAGAGCGTAGCGATAGCGGAGCTGAAGACGAGAATAGCCAGCAGTGGAGAGAGCATAGTGACGGTGATAGCGGTGAACAGAGACGAAGCAGTTAGCAGTGGAGTGAGCATAGTGACGGTGATAGTGATGAACAGATAGCGGTGAACAGAGACGAAGCAGTTAGCAGTGGAGTGAGCATAGTGACGGTGATAGCGGTGAACAGAAACGAAGTAGTTAGCAGTGGAGCGAGCATAGTGACGGTGATAGCAGTGAACAGAGACGAAGCAGTTAGCAGTGGAGTGAGCATAGTGACGGTGATAGCGGTGAACAGAGACGAAGCAGTTAGCAGTGGAGTGAGCATAGTGACGGTGATAGCGGTGAACAGAAACGAAGTAGTTAGCAGTGGAGAGAGCATATTGACGGTGATAGCGGAGAGCGGAGACAAAGAAGTTAGCGGCAGAGTAAGCGAAGTAATCGTGGGGAGTGGAGAGACAAAGGTGGCGAGCGAGCCGTGGCGACCAGGATACTGTGGAATGTGGAGGACATGCTGAGAGTTGTAAATAAAGCGGTGTTCGAAGAAAGACAGAAGTTGTCCAAGTCAAATCGAACACTACACTTGCACAGAATGTGGTGCTAAAAAGTGGAAAGGAGAAACCAAAGGAATGTGCTGCAGTGATGGAAAAGTCAAACTTTGCCTTGTGCAGACGCCCCCCGAGCCACTCAAATTCTTGGTATCTGGTCATACCCCGGAGTCTAAACACTTTCTGACCAACATCAGGAATTACAACGCCTGCTTTCAAATGACTTCTTTTGGTGGGACTAAGGAGATAGTGGAGCCAGGATTTATGCCCACATCCAAAGTTCAAGGCCAAGTCTATCATCGAATTGGATCCATTCAGCCACTGACTGGCAAAGAGCCAAAGTTTCTTCAGATATACTTCATGGGAGATGAAGGTCAGCAAAACAACCAGCGATGCAGCAATGTTCCTGGTGCCAGACTGGAAATTGTCTTCTCCCTCCAAGGGATGCTCAACCAACACAATTTATTGATTACAAGTTTTAAACATGCAGCACAAGTCACCCCCAATGATTATCAGGTTGTAATCAGTGCATCCAAGGTCCCAAGTGGGGAGCATGCACTGAGGTTCAATGCCCCAACTTGTGGTGAGGTTGCTGTTCTTATGGTGGGTGAAGAACAATACCCCATTATATTGTGGCAAGGGCAAGACGGGTACCACGTCCAGATTCCTCAAATTATAAAAGCAACTGGACAAAGTCATCCTCACAAAACTGTCTCCTCTAAGGCCTTCTATTCCTTCATGATCATGGACAGAGAAGGCGGAAACCACATATTGAGGTGCGCCAACCTCTTTCACCAGTATGTTGTTGATGAGAGTGAGCGACTTCTTCACAATTCAACTCAATCAAAACGCCTGCGTGTAGAACAGTATGTTCATCTGAGGGACGCTATCATTGCTGACGGAGATGCAAACACTCAGAATGTGGGGAGATGAGTTATTTTGCCTTCATCCTTCACAGGTGAAGCAAGATACATGCATGAGAGGAATCAAGATGCCATGACCTATATCAGGAAATATGGCAGGCCCGATCTCTTCATCACCTTTACTTGCAATCCAAAATGGAAGGAGATCCAGGTTGAGCTTTATCAAAACTAAAAGCCAACAG